TACAGCAAAGGAAGATGGAATACTGTAGCTCTCCTTAGAATTATGGAGAGCTCCCTCACCCATGGAGCCAAGCAGAACAATGTAGCTGCAGAACAGAGCTCAGTGCTATTCCAGGGCTGTACTCTACACTCATTCTCTTACTCTGACACACTTGTTGAGCAACTAGGAGTAAGGCACAGAATCACTGTGCAGACCCTGAAAGGGACCTCTTTGGGAAGCCCGGAATATAGGGAAGGAAAGACATAGACACAACTAATGGCAATAAATGACCGTAGCCAAAAGAGGAACAGAAACAAGAGTTCAGAAATAGAACAGTGCCTAAAAGTGGTCCACCTTCTCTCAAATACTCTTGGAGCTACACAGGATACAACTGTCCCCCAGCATCTGTGAGGGTGCTGTACAGCATTTTCCTTCAAGTCAGTCACCATCTTCATGAGTTCAGCTGAGATTAAAGGTGTGCACCACCACGCCTGCATTTGGCTTTCTGATAGGGTACAGCTATGTTGTATAAACTGAACTCAAACTCCTAATTCTCCTGTCTCTAAGTTCTGGGAGTACAGGCATGTGCTACCACATTGGGCTCTGCATTTGGTAGATAATTATTGATACTCAAACAAATAGTTGGTTTATTGATTCTATATTTTACTGAGTCTGTCTGCAAGATTTGTTGACTGCTGACTCTCCCTCACAGAAGCAAGGGGCAGAGAGGTCACTGGACTCTCACTGGAGTATTCAGTCACTCCTCCCAGCCAGTTATCTACAACTCCATGTGGCCTTAGGGATCTTAGGGAAGAGCTAGAGTATACAAACTAGGGAGGACCAGGGGAGCAGGGGCTCCATATGAGCAGCTATAAGGAAGCCATCATCCCTGCTTCCAGTGTGGCTGCTGTAGTGTCTCCCATGCTCCTGCCCATAACCCCTCACCCATGCTCTATAAGTGAGTCCAATAAACTCACTGGTTCTCCAAGGGGAACTTGGGTGGAGTCAGTAGCTTAATCCACCGCGCCCCAATTCCTCCCAGGGAGAAAAATTCTATCAATGGAGGAAGGGTTGGTTCAGGTACCACCAAAATAGGTATCTAAATATCCAAGGATGTTCAAGCCCCTAACATAAATAATACAGTATCTGCATGAAGTCTACACATAACCTTCCTTGTAGTTTACTCTATGTTACTTATAAAGACTAAAATCAAGTAACTGCTATGTAACTTGCTTATACTGTTCAGGGAACAATAACAAGAAAAAAGTCTACACATACTCAATTCATAAACAATTTTTTTTCAAATATTTTAAATCCATGGTGGGTTGAACCTGAGTGCAAAAACTATGAAGGATTAGCAATATAAATAAAACTTCTTCCTTCCTTAAAACCAGAAACTACTTCTAATCCATCACGTTAGTAACTTCAGTAGTAACTTCAGGGTAAGAGGAAGGATGAACTGATGAGAGAACAGTGGACGCCACTGACTTCAGTTTTTCATATTTCGTATGTTTCATTTAAGAAAGCAAAAGAGGGGCTGGGTATGGTAGCCATGCCTTTAATTCCAGCACTCAGGAGCCAGAGGCAGGTAGAATTCTGTGAGTTTGAGGCCAGTCTGGTCTATATATATAGTGAATTCCAGGCCATCCAGGGCTACATATATGTAGACCAGGCTGATCTTGAATTCACAGAGATCTGCCTGCCTCTGCTACTGGAATTAAAGGCATGCACCACAATGCCCAGCTCTACAAAATGGTTGACATAGAGTGTTTGAATGACATTTTGCAGTAAATGGAAAGAACATATGTGTAACAATGAACTGCTTATGAGATCCATCCCAAGATGTAAGATGATGTTACTATTGATCAGTTACTCCTGATGTCCTTCCATGCAGACCAGTAGGAACATTCCTATCATTTGCCACAACCCTTTCTTCAGTCATTAGTAAAAACCCAAGTCATCTGCCACCAATACATTTGTCCTCTGTCAGTGCTGTACTTCCCTAAACTAACTCAAGCTCCTGGCCACTCCAGACCCTCCATGTCTTCCCAGCATGTCCCACTTCAGGCAGATCTGTGTTTAGTATCACCTTCCCACAGAGCTCTTTCTAGACAACCTTAACTAAAACCACCCATCCCCTCTAATCACTAACCCTGCTTTACATTCCTCCTTAGCACTTCAAATTAATATCTGTTCTCTCTGTCTGCTGAATGTAAATTCAGGGCTGGAGAAATCACTCAGAGGTGAAGAGCACTGGCTGCTCTTGAAGAACCTGGGTCTCGTTCCCAGCACCCACATGGTAACCGTCCATTTCCAGTTCCAGGGAATCCGACCCCCCTCTTCTGGCTTCTGCAGGCATTACACACAAGGGTGCAGTTATATACATGCAGGAAAAACATTCATACACATAAAATAAAATAAATCAAAAAAACTTTTTCTAAAAAGACTGTAAATTCATTGAAACTCTGGAAAATACTGTTTAATGCTGTACCCTGAAGGAGGATCACAATGTTTGTATACATAAAATATTTAATAGCTATCAGCTGAATGGAAGGTACATAAGTTTTTTTAATGTGTCATGAAAACAATGTTACCATGTTGCTTGCCAAATTCCTTATAGCCCAGGTAATAAATAAGACATTTCCACAGAATTAGTGAAAGCACACAGTATAATGGTACACATCCAAGATTCTGGAGAATACTGAAGTGGGTTAAAAAAAACAGGCACCAGAGGACTCAAAGAATGAACATCAAATCAGCTTCAACAGTATGTAGGAAAAAGTAATTTGCAAAACTTATAGTACAGACAAGCTAGGTTCTTTCTTTTGTCTTATTTAAAAAATAACAAAAAGCCGGGCGTGGTGGCGCACGCCTTTAATCCCAGCACTTAGGAGGCAGAGGCAGGTGGATCTCTGTGAGTTCAAGGCCAGCCTGGTCTACATACTGAGTTCCAGGACAGATGGGGCTACAGGGAGACCCTGTCTCAAAAAGACCAAAAAAAAAAAAAAAAACAGAATTCTGATTCCTCTTGAGAATTAAAATGCTCTTGAAAGCATCACGTATCTTAAGGAACTTGATTCATTAAAGAACATAAGTGGCCATTTTGTACAGCTGCGGGGAGGTCATGAGCCATGCCTAGATGGAGACCTTCCAGTTCGGCCTTAAGAGGGAGCACCCACACTCCTGGTCCACACACAGAAGCTGTGGTCCACAAGAGGCTAAGGCTGTATCTCAAGCCAGATGCCAGACTTAGTAATGTATAAGAGTCTCCAAGGTGGTACTGGTTTTGAAGGCATGAAGGGGTCATGCATAAAGAGAACTGAGGCTTGATGTCCTGTGAGGCCATTAGTGAAGATGCAGCTTCGGTTATAGTAGAGACCTCAGGATTGATGCGTCATGGACAGATCTGGGGCTTGGCACCCTGTGAGGCGAAGAGGCCATTGGTGAAGGTACAGCCTCAGTTGCAGTGAAGGCCCCAGGATATAGAAAAGATGCTAGGACTGTGGGATGACCACCAAGGACAGAGGCAGATGTGACATGGAGCCAGCCTGAACCTATGAGACAAAATGTATGTGCTATGGGTGGCAGAGCCAGAGAAGTGAAATGGCCCAAGCCCTTTGGAGCCCAGAAGATTGTGAGTATATCCCAGATGTCCCACATCAAGCTACACAGCTAGAATTTGGTTTTACTTAGGTGTATCTGGTTCTTCCCTTTGGAAATAAGAAAGTATATAACTTGTTTTTGATTTTACATGAGCCCACAGTTAAAAGACTTTAGAAAGGCATGTTAAGCTTTTAAAGTATTGGAATTTTTAAGGACTGTGGAACATTCTCAAAGTTGTACTATGTTTTATATTGTGATATTAGTATTAGCCTAAGATCTGGGGGACAAGAAATAAAAAGGTTACAGTTTAATAGTGATTTGTTTGTGCGTCAAGCTGTCAAAGGGTCAATTGTGCTAGATAAATTCAATGTCAACTTGACACACCTAGGAAGAGGGTACCTCAATTGGGGAATTTCTTCTATCAGATTGACCTGTGAGCATATCTTTGAAGCATTTTCTTGATAGTTGAGTAACAAGGGAGGGCCCAGATCTGTGGGGGTGGTGCCACCCCTGGGCAGGTGGTCCTGAGTTGTAAAGAAAGCAGGCTGAGCACAGGCCAAGGGAGCAAGCCAGTAAGCAGCATTCCTCCATGGTCTCTGCTTCAGTTCCTACCTCCAGTTTCCTGCCCTAGGTTCCTGCACTGAGTTCTCACCTGACTTCCCTCAAAAGATGGACTATGCCTTGGAAGTATAAAATAAAATAAACCCTTTCCTCCCCCATCTCCAAAAAAAGAACATATATATCTTTTTTCATTCATCAAGCAAAAAATATAATGCTCAACCCTTTCCTCTGTGATAAACTTCTTTCTTCCTGAAAAGCTGCTGATCTCAAGTCCATGAACATCTATTACCCACCTCTCCTTTTCACAGCTGGTCTTTTCCTTCCCTCCCAATCTTTGTTGTCCCTCCTTAATCCTCTGCAATGAGAGGCACCACATGCACTCTGCACTCAAGGCACCAATGCATCCAAAGATTAAGCCCACAGCCTCTTCTCTGCCTGCCCTTCTGTCCTCTTGTTCTATGCTATTCAACACAGATAAGTGGCCCATGTTCTGACACCCTCTCCTGACCCTGATTACAACTCTTTGTCAGCACACCCACGGAAGGCATCAAAGGGGACCTCAGTCTTAGGCAAAAGAGCTGTGAACTTGGGAGGGAGGGAGGGAGGGAGGGAAGAAAAGTTAAAAGAAAGGAAGACAGAAGGAACTGTTTGTTCATAGCCTCTGAATCTAAGCAAGTACAAAGAAAAATAGTCATGCCTAAGTAAGCAGCAAGAAATGTGCCACTTGAGAAGTGAAATGACAAGCGTCCCCCTAATTTCCTTCAGTGGCAGTGTTTCAGCATGAGGCAAGAACACACCAGAGGCAAAATAATTTACAAGGAGAAAGAACAAATGGAAAGGGAAAAGACATTGCTCACCGATGTAAATGCCAGCAGTTCCTCTTCAGTTAACTTGTGAACTGGATTATTCTTTTGGAAATCTGTGCTTTGAATTAAAAAATAAAATGAATTCTAAAGTACAGGTTGTAGCTAATGAAATATAATTCTCAAAATAAACTGCTATATTTTATAACATATATTTTAACAGGCATACTATAATACTATGGCATTATATATAGGTATAGAAATGAGTTAGCCAAAGATAAGTATAAAAAAAATAATAAAATGCTGAAGCCAAGTGTGGTGGCATAAGCCTTTAATCCCAGCAGAGGCAGGCAGATCTCTGAGTTCAAGGTTAGCCTGGTCTACATAGGGAATTCCAGGCCAGCCAGGGTGACATGAGACCCAGTCTTAAATAACAATGAAAAAGTAATAAAATGCTGAAAATAAAACATGGTTGGTGTCAGTATGATTTATCTTATTAGGGAGAAAACAAACGAATAACTCCAGAGGCTGACAAGGCTCAGTGAGTAAAAGTGCTTGCTACCAAGCCTCACAATTTGAGTTCAATCCCTCAGGTAGAGAGAACCAATTCTGCTGACCTTCACATCCATGCACGGTACCAACTCCTCTCAAAAAATAAATGTTAAAAAAAATAAATAAATTCAATCTATACCACTCACAAAAGAAAATGAAAAAATTAATATAGTACTAACTTTCATTTACTAAATTTATGCCACAAAAAAATTACTATAACCAACAGGCAAGTTAAAATAGTCACCAAAGAGGTAGAACAACAGGAACTCTAAGGTTCTGTTGATGCAAGCCTAATTAGTGCAAACATTTTGGCCAACAATCTGACTTCAGCTTGGGGACTCCACCCTACATGATACAGCCCAGAGAAAGTGAAAGAGTGAGCCAGGAACGGTACACACAAATACTCAATGTAAAAGGAAACGGCTGAAAAATAACCAAAAGGCCCAAAGGAAAACGACAATTGTGCTATAATCACACAATGGAATGCTGCGTTGCAAACTGAACAGCAGCCACAGATAAAATCACAGAAAGAGAACAATGAGAGGAAAAAAGCAAATCACAGAGAACTACAGAAAACTGAAAAATAAGCAAATGAGGCTCCTGCCTTACAGGTACACAAGGCACAAGATTAAATATATTTTTAATTTTTTTATTTTATTTATTTTTTTATGTCTATGCATGTATTGCCTGCATGTAGGTAAGTGCACCCATGTCATGCAATGCCCCTGGAAATCTGAAGAGGCTGTTGGATCCTCTGGGACTGGAGCTACAGACAGTTGTTAGCTACCATGTGGGTACTGGGATTTGAACCCGGGTTTTCTGCAAGAACAACCAGTGTTCTTATCTCTTGAGCCATCTCTCCAGCCCCTAAATATATTTTTAAAGGCCAGACAATAACAAACCCAAAACTCAGCATAGCACTGTCTCTTGAGGAGATCAAGAAAGAGGTGAGGAGAAAGCACCCAGGTTGAGCTCATGATATCTGTAATCTTAAAGTCCTTAGGTTGGGTGCTGGGTTCACTGCTCTCCAACTTATTGTTATACAAGCAACTAAAATTTTTAAATTACATGAATTATCCTACATGTCAATATTATACATATTAGGAATGAAAACCACTGGATGTGGTAGCTCACACCTGAAATCTTGGCAATTAGGAGGCTGAGGCAGAATGCTACAAGTTCCAGTCTAGCCTGGGCTACAGAGTGAGGCTCTATCTCAAAAAATAAAAATAAAGAATGAAAATATAATCCCATAAAATAGTATTACTTCCTTATAATTTTCAGTATTTGAAGATTTTATAATGAGCATTAAATGTTTGTGCAATAACTTTTCAAAAATATTTTAACTTTTAAAAAATGTTTTATTTTATGTGTATGAATATTTTGCCTACATGTATGTAAATGCATCCATGTCACGCAATGCCCACAGAGGCCAGAAGAGGGTATTAGATCACCTGGTACTGGAGCTATGGATGGTGTTAGCCACCATTAGGGTACTGGGAACCAACCCCAGTCCTTTGCAAGAAAAGTCAATGCTCTTAACCACTTAGCCATCTCTTTAGCCCCTAAAAGACACTGTTCTTATTTCTCTTTTTCTTTTTTTTCCTTCTTTTTTTGGGGGGTCTTTTTGAGATAGGGTCTTCCTGTAGCCCCAGCTAGCCTGGCACTCACTATGTAGACCAGGCTGGCCTTGAATTCACAGAGATCCTCCTGCCTCTGCCTCCCAAGTGCTGGGACTATAGGTATGTGCCACCACACCCAACTGCTGCTCTTATTTTTCACTATGTGAACATGTCAGTGTGTGGGTTTGTACATGTGCCTACAGGTGCCCACAGAGTCTAGAAGAAGGTGTTAAGATGCCCTGGAGCAGGAGTCATAGGCAGTTGCAAAGTACTCAGTGTGGGTGCTCAAAACCAAACTCTCCAGCCCTGTGTAATAACTTTTTAAAAATATTGTATTTTTTTAATATTTTATTTTTATTTTATGTGTATGAGTATATTGCCTGCATGTGTGTAAGTGCACCCATGTCATGCAATGCCCACAGAGGTAAGAAGAAGGTGTCAGATCCCCTGGAACTGGAGTTATGGATGGTTGTTAGCCGCCATTAGGGTGCTGGGAATCAAACCGGGGTCCTCTGTAAGAGCAATGCATGCTTTTAACTGCAGCGCCACCTCTCCAGGCACTTATTATTTTTATTTTAATTTATGTGTATGAGTGTTTTGCCTGCATGTATGTAAGTATACCTGTGTTGTGCAATGCCTACAGAAGTCAGAAGAGGGTGTCAGATACCCTGGAACTGGAGTTAGAGAGAGTTGTTAGCCACTATATGGGTACTGGGAACTGAATTTGGGTCCTCTGCAATTTCAACCAATGCTCTTAAATGCTGAGCTATTTCTCCAGACCTATTAAAATTTTTTTTTGATTTATTTGTTCCAACTGGCCTGGAACTCTCTATGAAGACCAGGCTGGCTTCAATCCCACAGATATCCATCTGCCTCTGCCTCCCAAGTGCTGGGATTAAGGACATATGCCACCATGCCCAGCCTGTGTAATAACTTTTAACTGAACCTATGTTTATTGTTGGCAAGAACAAAATAAATGAGGGAAGGACTATTAAATAACTTAAAATATGCAACATACATACACACATATACACACAAACACATGTTCTTGGACATTTGTAGTTTGCCAGCACAAATCAATTAGGTATCAGGTGGCAAAATGACAAGGTGATCCAGGTTAAGCCCATAAGTCCTTTCCATTTATGATGTCTGCTTTGATGAGTAAACTAGAACATAACTTGCACCCACTTATGAAAGAGATGTACTCTTGCTCTGGAGTGTGTTACTGAATATGTTAAAACTGTAGTGAAACGCTTCTTCTAATCACAGTTATTAAAAATTTTTTTAAAAATAATGATTAAAAAAAACACACCAAAGGTATGAACCTCAGCCAAATGGACCAGCGTTCATGCCTTACATAAAAATTCTACTTCTAGCAGGGCGTGGTGGCACACACCTTTAATTCCAGCACTCGGGAGGCAGAGGCAGGTGGATTGCTATGAGTTTGAGGCCAGCCTGGTCTACAGAGTGAGTTAGAGGCCAGCTGGGGCTACAGGGCTACCCTGTCTCAAAAAGAAAAAAAAAAAAAATTCTACTCCTAAGATGTATAAAGTACATAAAGAGAAATGTTACAGGCTCATTACAAATAATTATAATGGAAGCGGGAGGGGTGGTTCAACATGCACACATGCTCTTAGCATGCATAAAGAACTACATTCAAACCCCAGCAGTAAAAACAGAAAAAAAATATATAATGTTGAAAAATAGATAATTACAGCATAGTCACTGAATTAGGTCACCATTATTTAACATAATATACTGTTGTTAGGCTTCAATATATGTGAACTGTTAAAGGACACGGTCTTTGCCCCACTCAGTAAAGTCAATTCTTAAAGGTTTGCTGTATTTTAAGGAATGACAGCACAAGAAAGCAGGCAGGTATACTGAGGAATGAAGGGTATGGGACAAGTTCCAGGTAAAGATCAACTCAAGCAGGAGGCCAATGAAAGACAAGGGTCTAGGGGAGGGACTAGGAGCCAGTTCTGCTGCTAAGCCAATCCAAAGCTTGTAAGAATCAACCTCCTCCAAGTCTGCTTCCAACCAGCTCTTACAATTTAGATCCAAAATATCCCCACAAGGTTCACACGTTTAACACTCAGTACCTAGGGATGGCCTTGCCAAGAGGTGGTGGAAAATGAAGGAGGTGGGCATTGTTGAAGGAAGCAGGTCACCAGGGGCTTGAAGAGAATTTCTGAGCCTTAGCACCCTCATGCACTTTGGCAGGTAAGTAGGGTTTTTTGTGTGTGTGTTTTGTTTCTTTTGAGCACTCACTCTGTGTCTCTGTCTGTCTCTGTCTCTCTCTCATTTTCATGCTCTTGCTCTCACTCTCGCTCTCACTCTCGCTCTCTGGCTCTGGTTCTCAGTCTCGTTTTCTGCCACGAGCGCCCTTTGCCAAGGCATTTCAGGCTGCAGGTATCTAAGCAATGGATCATGGGTCAAAACATCTGAAATCATGAGTATAAATCCATCTTCCCTCCTTTAAGTTGTCTTATCAAATATTTTGTCCCAATAATGAAAAGTTGACACTGGTCCAGCCTGAGTCACCTGTTCATAGGGGAATGGTGGCCATGGGCATCAGACAAACACTAGCACAATAACAAAATCTCTATTTAAAACTCACAACAACTCCATTCACGGGAATTATCAGTTCACTATGTTCTGATACAAAGGCTTGTAAACTGCATCGGATGTTCTAAAATTCAGAAAATAACCAAGTAGTTTCTACCAAACATTGAAGATTTAAATTGCCCAAGAAACACATCCAGCACTAACACATGGGCTACATGGTGTGATGCTGTCCACAGCTTATTTGAGGAAAAAAATAGCATTTTCAGACAAACACTTTGTTGGCTTTTAGTCTTCACTCAACTATAAAGTTCAACTCAATGTAGTTAAAAGTTCAACTGATAGAATGCCTGAAAATACATTTATTTGGTTTTGTTTAATTTATTGATGAGTTGGCAATTACAAATCTGCCAAATAACATCTTTTAAAATAGCATAAAGAAGACAGAATTAGTCAGTAAAACTAGGATTCCAATCTTCTTGCTGCTTTGTAATTCTGAGCAACTCAGCATGTAAACCGTTTTCCCATCTGAAAAGTGGAGAAAGCAATCCCTAAGATTGTTAGAACATTTGAGACGATGCTACCACAGGACCTGATGGCCAGCATGTAGACTAGCTCATAAACTCAGGCTGTTCATGTTGCTATGTTAAATGTCATTATGAACTGAACAAATAATTTTCTGGGATAAATATAAATTCTGTCACTGGAATCAAATCATGTGACATAATAATTGTATTAGATTTAGAAACAGAAACTCTACTGCATAATCCCTTTTAGGCAAATAAAAGGAAACTATAGAAATGAATGTAGTCTTTATATGAATGAAAACCTACTGTTAGGATATAGGAGGAAACTGCTATAAGATGAACATTAAATGATGAGTTCTACCTAGTTAAAAGAACAAATCAGAACTGGAGAGATGCTCAGTGATTAAGAGCATTGGCTGCTCTTGCAAAAGGATCCAGCTTTTGTTTCCAGCACCCACATGGCAGCTAACAACCATGTGTAACTCAAGTTCCAGGTGATATGACATCCTCTTCTGACCTCCATGGTCACTGCATGACACAGGTGCACTTACATGCAGGCACACTGATACACATAAAATACTTTGTGAAAAAAAGAACAAATCAGCCGGGCGTGGTGGCACACACCTTTAACCCTAGCACTCAGGAAGCAGAGGCAGGCAGATCTCTGTGGTCTACATAATGAGTTCCAGGCCAGCTGGGGCTACTGAGAGACCCTGTCTCAAAAAGACCAAAAAAAAGTTCCAGCTGGCCTGGAACTCACTATGTAGACTTTGACCTCACAGAGATCTGCCTGCCTCTGCCTCCCGAGTGCTGGGATTAAAGGCGTGCGCCACCACACCCGGCTCCTAATTTACTCATTATAAATTTAACTGATATCAGTAATATAATTTTGCTAGATATTTTACCAAGTATTTATTATGAAATTTCTTGATGACAAAATGAACATTTATATCTTCTGGGGCTGGTGAGAGAGCTTAGCAGGCAAAGGTGCTTGCCACTAAGTCTGATTGCCAGAGTTTGATCCCCAGGACTCACAGGGAGACTCACAAGTTCTCCTCTGACCTCCACATGCACAACGTGGTGCACGCGCACACACACAGACACACACACACACACACACACACACACGATCAAATAAATATGAAAATAAAATTATCTCTTACAAAATATTAATTACCAAGGTAAAAAGAATACCTTTCATAGGAAAAGTCTAGCAAACACCACTTTAATCATATGACCAGTTACCATCACCAACAGCAAGTCTAAAGGAAATTCTACTCTACCTCCCAGAATGCAATGAGAACTTTAAAGCTTCATTCCCTTTGATGTTCTTACTAACAATGCAAAGTTGAATTTAATCATTTTTAATCTGATAAATTCAAGTCAAAAGGAAGTCTACAAAATACCTGCCTTATAAATTCCAAGTGTCAAAATCATGAAAGGCAAGCAAAAATGAAGAATTAGTCCAGACTGACAGCCAAAGAGATATATCAGCTGAATTCAACATGTGCTCTGGATGGGGTCATCTGCTCTAAAAGGAGACAATAGATAAAAGTAGAATGGAGTTTGAAAATTAAATGTAATGAATTATACACTTAAATTTTTAAATTTTGACAGCAATATTATGGCTAGGTACAAAAATACTGCTACTTATTAGAAACACACTAAAGTACTTAAGGGATGTATTCATTACTTTTCTCATAGCAATGATCAAATACTTCACTAAAATAACATATGGAAGAAGGACTGATCTGGGCTCACTGTCCTAGATGCTTGGGGAGGCACAGCAGGGCTCATGGTTGCAGGAGCCTGGCTGGAACTTCCTGGGACTTGCTACATCTCAGCAGATCAGGAAGCAGAGAAAGGGAATGCTAGAACATAACGGGCTTTCTCCTTTTTTCCTTTTTGCCCAGCCCAGGACTCAGCCCATGAGATGGTGCCACATGTTCAGGGTGAGTCTTCCCTCTTCAGTGAACCTTTCTGGAAACACCTTCTCAGACACACCCAGCAGTGTGTGTCCTAGGTGATTCCAAACAAGTCAAGTAGAAACTGAAAATTTACCACCTTGGCAGTTGACACATCATCATCAAAGTCTAGGAATACTTTTGAAAAAAAGTACGTGCAGGGCTTTGGAGGAGGCTCAGTGGGTAAGAATGCCTACTGCACAGCATGAGGACCTAAGCTAAAATCCCAAGTACCCACATAAAAAAGCCAGGCATGACTACACCTGCCTGTAACCTCAGTGTTGAAGATGGCTGGCATGAATGCACACACAAGCATTCACACACATACTCATATACACACAAACATATTCACACACACAGAGTCATTCTTACCTATCTTTTATATTTAATTAAAAATCTACTCCCTGGGCTGGAGAGATGACTCACTGGTTAAGAGCACTGGCTGCTCTTGCAGAGGACCTGGATTCAGTTCTAAGTTCCCATATGGCAGCTAACTACTATTCATAACTCTAGTTCTAAGGGATCCAACACCGTTTTCTGGCTTCCATAGGCACAACATGGATGTACTTATGTACATGCAGGCAAAACATTCACACCATAAGATAAAAATAAATTTTAAGAAATGTAAAAACTAATCTATTTACATGGGCTGGAAATGGCTCAGTAGTTAAGAGCACTCACTGCTCATGAGAGGACCTGAATTCAATTCCCGGCACCTACATGGCAGCTCACACATCTGTAACTCCAGTTCCAAGGGATCCAATGCCCTCTATTGGCCTCCATGGGCACCAAGCTACTACATGGTGCACATACATACATGCAGGCAAACACTCATACACATAAAATTAAAATAAATAAATATATTTGTTAATCAATTCCCAGGCTGGAGACATGTGGGTTCCCAGCACCCACATCAGGCAGTTCACAACAACCTGTAACTCCAGTTCCAGGGGATACTTCTGTGGGGCACACATATATAAATAATAAATCCTTTTTTTAAATCTATTCCCAACTGAAGGGAACCAAATAAATTTTGCTTATAAAGGAAAGAAAGGTGTGAGCATACCAACCCACAAGAGAGAATCCTAATATCAAGGATATTGGCTGTCTAAGAATTCCTTCTCTATCTTTAAAAGCAAGACAAAATTCCCCATTATACAGTGAGATTTCAATAAAGATTTTCCCACACACAAGAGAATCAATATATAAGGTATTCTACACAGTCAAGTCAGTCATTAACATACCAGACTCCAAGGATAACAGCAAGCTCTTCAGCACACAGATCAGGCATCTGAAATTGCTCACTGTCTGCTAACTTTATCTCATTCAGAACAGTATCATCATTGAGCCCAAGATTCTGGTGAAACACAAAATATTTAAACCAAAAATTAAATGTGACTAATTCAACAGACTGGTAAAGGGGGAGGGAAGTTAGAGGACATTTTGTTTTGTTTTGCTTTGCTTTTTGCTTCTGGTTTTTGGGGGTTTTGTTTTCTTTTGTTTTTGAGATTATATAATGTCTACATATGATGAACAGGCTGTTTCTTGTGAAATACATATTGGAGACAATTTACCTTATAGAAATGGAAGTGTGTCTGACCTGGTGACAACCACCTTTAATCCCAGCACTCAGAGGCAGAGGCTGACAGATCTCTGTGAGATCAAGGCCAGCCCTAGCAAGTTCCAGGCCAGCCTAGGCTACACAGTGTGACCCTGTCTCAAAAAAACAAAAACAAAAGCAAAGAATGCACTGAAAATTAAGAGGGAAAATAACCCTGATCACTGACTGACACCAGCACCAAAGCGCCTCTGCTGGTAATCTAATCTACACACACTTCCTTACTCATCCTCACAATACTATGAAAAAGGACAAAGAGATCTTTGGGGATAGAATTCATGTGACATAAAAGCAGAGGGAGGACTATAAGATCTCTTTGTCCTTTTTCATAGTCACCTTTCTACTTTTGTGTACCCCCTCCCCCATGTCCACTTAAGTCTACGTTCCCCATATGAGAGAGAGCATGCAGTATTTGTCTAAGTTTGGCTTATTTTGCTTAATATAAGGATTAGGAGCCGGGCGTGGTGGCGCATGCCTTTAATCCCAGCACTCGGGAGGCAGAGGCAGGCAGACCTCTGTGACTTCGAGGCCAGCCTGGTCTCCATAGCGAATCCAGGCCAGCTAGGGCTACAGGGAGACCCTGTCTCAAAAAGACCGAAAAAAAAAAAGGATTAGGGAGAGAAGTGGGGGGTTAAATAAGAAAAAGTATAATAGCATACATATATATATATATGATTCTAAATGTAAGACTATGCCACAATCGGGCCTGGAGAGATGGCTCTGTGGTTAAGAGCACTAGCTACTCTTGCAGAACCCAGGTCAGTTCCCAGCACCTAGATGGTGGCCCACAATCATCTGTAACTCCAGTCCTAGGGAATCCAGTGCCTTTTTCTGGCCTCCATGGGCAGCAGGCATGTACATGGTACAAATACATAGATACAGGCAAAACATTCATGCACATAAAATTGAAAATAAATCGTTTTTTAAAAGCCAAAATGAAGCCGGGCGTGGTGGCGCACGTCTTTAATCTCAGCACTTGGGAGGCAGAGGCAGGCGGATCTCTGTGAACTCAAGGCCAGCCCGGTCTACAGAGTGAGTTCCAGGACAGCTGGGGATACAGGGAGACCCTGTCTCAAAAAGACACCCCCACCAAAAAAAAGCCAAAATAAAACCCATCACTTAGTACATTAATATAAAAATTCTTTTAAAAAGAAAATGTGCTATGCCTTAAATGCACAACAGAATAAAACAGCACCCAATATGAGATGGGAGAAAAAGAAACAAGAAGGCAGGGCTGGCAGGTGGATAGCACACCACAGACCTAGAGCTTTTTAAATACAGTTCATATGTAATTTATAATATTGAATCATCATATATAAAATGTTAAAAAGAAATGAGGTAACCTAATATATCAAAAGTATCATCTTTGTAACATGTGTCAAGAGAAAAGTTATCAGTCAGTGGCTGGTAACTCGGGCTATAATCCCAGCTCCTCAGAAGGCTTAGGCAGGAAGATCTCAAGTAAGCTCAAGTATTATCTGGACAACAGAGCTCTCCTGGGCCTGAAAAGAAACAGGGTAGGGATAGAACTGAGCATGCAGCGCAGTGGTAGAATGCTTGCCAAGCATGTGTAAGACCCTAATTTAATCGAAAAAATTAGATGCTCTGCATTCTTGGCTCATATAGTTTGAACTGTGGTATGGATTCTATACTTATAGCACATCTAAAGGACCAACACCTTCAAGTGCTCAACTGCCACATGTGCTGGCAGCTCCATACTGGACAGGACAGTGACAGCACATACAAAAATTCACCTTTTAATACCCATACAGGTGTGTATCAACCTGCTCATTTACACACACCCTGGGTTTACTAACACACATTTCTAGCATTCCTTTACACAGCTAGCAGAATGCTTTTATAAAGTGTAATGGGGGGGGGGCTGAGGAATCTAAGAATATGGTAAACTTCCCAGGTTCTCACCCAGGAACCCAGTCTCTTACTCTCAGCTCAGGACTCCATCCCGTCTGTTATAAAATACCTTAGCCATCTCAGAGTTACCAACAGAGGATTACTGATTTTCCAGAAATAAACAAATGATCAAAAGAGCTTCACTTGTGGACCAGCAAGATGGCTCAGTGGGTAAAGGTGCTTGTTGCACAAGCCCTCAATCTGAATTCAATCCCCAAAATGTTCCCTTATAAAGTCAGAAGGGAAACTCTACAAAGTTCTCTGATCTCCACGTAAGCAGCATGGCATAAAATCAATAAATGGACAATCAAACTTTGTAGGTGTCAGATCGCTGGAAAATATATATATATAAATGTTTATGGCTTCCATGGACACAGCTGGACAGGCCTATGAGCAGGTCAGCCAACCAGGAGTCATGAGTTGAAGCCACAGGACAAGAATTCATGAGGCATGTCAAAAAGCACACTGCAGCAACAACCAACACGATGACAGAGTAAAAGGCAGATCACACAAAAGAAGAAAAGGGACTCTGAAAATTGGTTTATGTATTTGGAAGACACCAGAGAAATTTCAAGTCTCTGAATGTTGAAAAATCTCCAGAGAGACTAAAGAGACTAATAGAGCTGGGTGTGGTGACTCGGGTCTGTAATCCCAGCACTTAGCAGGCTAAAGCAGGAAGATCACGTGCTAAGGCCAACCTTAGCTACAGGAAGAGATCTTGTCCCAAAGAGCAAAACACAAAGCAGGCATGGTGGCATATGCCTTTGATCCCAGTCTTCGATCCAAGCACTCAGGAGGCAGAGGCAAGCAGGGCTCTGGAGATTGAAGCTAGCCTGGTCTACATAGGAAATTCCAGCTGGGGTGACAGGGAGATGCTGTCTCAGCTAGAAAAAAAAAAAAAAAAAAAAAAAAAAAAAAGCAAATACAAACCAAAAATACAAATATGGAAATATGGTAGCAGCTAGAAAGATAAGCCTCTATTCAATCTACCTTTTATGACCCTTCAAGAGGGCAGTATTCAACAACTGCACTATTAATCCACAGTTGTTAAACTGTAGGAAAGCTCTGCTTCCTAGCTGTGGGCAGCTGCCTTCCTACTTTTGATACCATGCCTTCCCCACCATAATGAAATACATCCCCCTTAAACTTTAATCCAAAATAAACCTTGCCTTTCTTTAAAAAGGAAATTAAGAAAAATATTAATTACTGCCCTTTAAAAGAGAGAATTCAACAAGAGTTTTCCTACATACCTTGAAAAGGCTCAAGAAAGTAGAAAATGCAATCTCTTCTCATCCATTAGAGTTTCTGTGATCTTCATCTATTGATACTGTTAGGCTTGGATTTTAATTCAGTTAAGAAATTTACAATCCAACTTACCTTGGTTAAATATTCCTGAGGGGTAGGTGCTAGGCTGAATTCACAATGAGAAAGTACAGCCTCTTCTCTTCTTACATCTAGAATCAGTTGTGCCACATAATTTTCCTGGAATCGTGTCCTTTTTCCCAAAGCACCTAAAAAATTAAAATAAAATCTCATCTATGGATTTGTCAGTCATATCTATAGTATGATCATGAAATATAATGTTTTCAGAGTGCTAAAATGTTTTCTCTATTTCACATAAGAGAAACCTGGGGCCCAGTGATGTTAAAATGGCACTGATTGTTATGAAGTCAATAAACTACAATGCCAGGGCTCAAACCCAGGATTTCTGCCACTAGATTCTCAACACCCATTTTTACTTATATTTATCCCCTCCTCAAAAAACAACTTATTACATACTATGGATAGAATTCACATATACATACATTTCATATATAGTCTGTATGTATATGTATAATATATATGGAAAGTCATCACTATCTCAGGAACAGGGCTCCTCTGTACTAAAGCCAGCAGTTAAAGCCAGGGTCCTCGGGTTCTAAATCCCTATCAAGTACTCCATCTGGATTCATAGGATATCAACATATTTTCTTCATGTCTCTGAAATAAGAGGCTGCAGAAGAGCTATTTTCAGAGCACTTTGAAGAGAAGCAAAAGTTCCAACATCCATTCTTTGGAAAACGTGGGATTGCAAAGACCAGCCTAAGGGGTCTGCTTTTCTCTCCTGCGATGAGTCTGGCTCCAGGTTACATATCAACCCTTTAACCATATTATGCTAAAGATAGCCTCCAAAATGGCTTAACAGCTTACTTTTTTATACAAAGTCTATGGCTGAGTAGAAAAAAAAATTATCTGGTTCTCATTTGTTATTTGTGAGCACCATATAGTATTTTTCAGTTCTTCTTCCCTACTTTGGAAAAAAAAAAAGAAAAACTGAAATTGCTAATAAATATACCAAGAGCTAAAGCTGAATCAGAGCACAGTGCCATTAAGTTTTAAATGGTCCTCCAATAGTCTCCTAGCACCAAAATATGGGAAAACAATCTCTGAAACTAACCTCCCAAGTTTTATTACATGTAACAATATTTTCAAATACAGACAAGACTCCAAGTTATTCATGGCCTTGTTCCAAAAGCTATAAACTACATGCTAACTAACTTTCCCCACACAACAATGTAATAAAAGGTGACTAAGATCCCATAAAGTCTTATTTAACTCATATCTAAAAGACTTCATGCATTAGGACTAACTCAGTAAGACACTGAGAATGTCAGGTCAAGAACAGGCCTGAGATAATCAAGGCCTCAGGATAGTAACAGGCTCGGTCCTTTCAGAATTCATGGGCTGGTAGTCATATCCTGGGATGTGAAGCCCCATACTCATGTGATGTTACCCGGCTTTCATTAGTTCGTTCATACTGAATGCCAGCTATATTGTAATCAATTAGGGGCAGAACCATATATAATAAACAATGTTTCTTATCTGGCACTCAGAAGAGACAACATATATTTTAGGAGAAATTGTAATGCATTCATTCTTTCAACAACTATCTTATTGAATGCCTACTATATCCCTGACAGTACTCTAAAACACTGACAATTCATCTACTCCTAAGAAACACAATATGGGGCAGGTATGGTGATACACACCTTCAATCTCAGCACTCAGGAGACAGAGACAGGAGGATCACTGTGAGATTAAGGCCAGCCTGTCCTACATAGTGAGTTCCAGGGCAGCTGGGGCTAAAAAGAAAATGGAATGCAGCAAAGCAGGATGGAAACAACAGGTGGATATTTACAAAAAAGGACCATGCAAAGAGACGAAACTAAACTGAGGAATCCGGAGGGGTCTTTGGAGGCCTACACCAGAACCAAAAGGTCCAATGTCCTTTTGTGTACTTCCTGGTTGCTGTTACTAATCAGTATTTAAGTAGATTGGAATAAGAAATGGAAATCTCTAGGAAAAAAAATATGAAATCCCAAGTTTGTCTTAAAATATTAATTTTTACGTAAATTTTTTAAAATGTATTATTGCTCAATAAAGAATAAACTATAAAAAAGTAAATACTAAATCAGGTATGGTGGTGCATGTCCATTAATCCCAACACTCAAGAAACTAAGGAAAGAATATTACAAGGTCAAGGCCCAAAGGGCCTACATAGAAAAAAACCTGGAAAATGTCAGATTATAAATACGGCCTAAGTAAGAAGTTCACTTTTTATCCTGTGATAAGGCTGGCTCTAAATACATCAACCTTAAATTTAAAAAAAAAAAAAAAAAAAAGTTGGGCGTGGTGGCAAATGCCTTTAATCCCAGCACTTGGGAGGCAGCAGTAGGTGGATCTCTGTGAGTTCAAGGCCAGCTTGGTCTACCTAGTAAGCTCCAGGTCAGCTGGGACTACAAGAAGACCCTGCCTCAAAAGGATTTAAAAAAAAAACAAAAATACCCCATCAGAATACAATACAAACTGCCAATGTATCTACTAGCTTTATTATAAAATCAATTACACATAAAAGGTAATGTCTTACCTGTCAAATCAATTTGCAATTTGCTGATATCTTTAGCAATGTTGAATTGATCTTTTGCTTTTCTATACTCATAATAATATAAAAATATGTGTGCACATTCCAGATGGAATTGAATAGCCAAAAGTCGACCTGAATCACCATCAAATAAATTCTCTAGTTTCATCACTGCGAGACAAAAGATGAAACATTAAAAAGTATGATAAGTGAGATGTTGAGCCCAAAATATTAAAATACACATTGCATACTTTCTGTTCTTGAAGAATTTCAAATATACAGAGAAACACAAGTACACTGGTAGTTAAGAGCTAGTATCCTTGAGCAATGAAATGTTCCAAACACGTAGTTAAGGGCTCTCTATACATGACTTCTTTCACTTCACACAGTCCCACAAGATATGATTCATACATAACCCTGATCTTTCCTGGGTGCTTGTCTTAACAATGCTATAAAAACATGACAAAAATATGGAAACATAAAACGTTGCTACAAAGCACTAAATGAATCTCTAAACTCCATGGAAAAGGGGTATTAGCTGAGTCATTTCAGAGAAAACAATTTCTCCCTTAAAAGGGAACACAT